ATTACATTACTTTTTCTTTAAAGATTTTACTTTATTTTTTTAACTTTATTTTTTCCTATGACTGTCTATACCCAATTTTCTTTTCTTTCTTTAGCACCTAAGCACATTTTTAAACATATTGTACCTATTTAGAGTTTGGTTTTGTTGTTTTGTTCTTTTTTTTTTAGTCTGGACCTGATTTTTTGCATGCCTGCAGCTGTGTGCTTGCAAAGGACACATCGTAAACTGCTAGGTTACCACTGTGGAGTAGCACTAGTGGCTGGCTCTGCCTGCTTCTGGTCTTTGAGAGCACAAGAACCTCATGCCTGTGGGCCCTGGACTGAAGCTGGTCTATTCTTCCCAGCTCTGGGAAGTTTCTGGGTCCACACTGTAGCAGGTGTTTCTAACTAGTCTCCCACCACCAAGTAGCACCATCTGCAGCTCATAAACTCCATTAAAGTGCTCGGTAGCACGGCCTTTTAAATAAAAGAGCTGTGCCTCTGTGTGCAAATCATGAATAGGGGGAAAGAGAAACATTCATTCATTGCTGTTGGAGCACAAACCAATGACACCATTACAGAAATTCGTGTGGAGATTCTCAAAAAGCTAAAAATAGATGTACTATATGATCAAGCAATACCACTCTTGGGTGATGGGGGATACCCTCTGTGTTCTGTGAATACATGTTTCTCTTATTGGTTGATGAATAAAGCTGTTTCAGCCTATGGACAGGCAGGGTATAGCCAGTCAGGAAGTATAGGCAGGGCTTCCAGACTAGGAGAATTCTTGGGAGAGGAAAGCAGAGAGTGAAGGCAGCAGACCTAGGCATTCTCCTGTAAACCAAGACCACATGGAGATACATAGATTAATAAAAATGGGTTAATAATTAAGAGAGAGCTAGCCAATAAGAAGCCTGAGCCATTGGCCCAACCATTTATAATTAATACAAGCCTCTGTGTGCTTATTTGGGGCAAGCAGTTGCAGGACCGTGTTACAATAAATCTTTACTCCATCTGCCCAAGTCCTGCTGCCACATGGGCACCCAGAATAACACACAGAGTCTTATATTAGTTTACAATGCTACTGGCCAATTGACTAGGATTTCTTATATGCTAGCTCAGTCTTAATTATCATAAATCTATATATTTTATAAGACTTATCTTATTGAGGAGCCTTCCACTGGCATCCTCTTCCTGGGATCACATGGCGGCTCCCTAGAGAAGAGAGCAAGAGGAAGAGGAAGAGCAAGGGAGTGACTTCATGTTTGTCCCTGCTTATATATGAGTCTGCCTGTATCACAAGACTTCTTTTTACTACATTTCCCAGAATTCTCCTCGACTCCAAGTCTCACCTAACTTGCTGCCTCATTGGCCAAACAGTGCTTTATTCAACAATCAATAAGATAAGCATATCCACAGAAGGACATTTCCCATCAGGACCAAATGGGACAGAAACTTCCATCATCACTAGGTCATATTATACTCAAAGGACTCTATGTACTTTTTCTGTAAAGATGCTTGCTCATCCATGTTTATTGATGCTCTGGGAAACTGAAACATCCTAGATATCCATAAACTGAAAAACAGATAATGAAAATGTGTTATGTTTGCTCATTGGAATATTATTCAGCTATTAAAAAATAACAAATTATGAAATTCTCAGATAAATGAATAGACTTGGGAAAATCCATTCTTCTTTTTCCTTTGGTTTTTTGAGGCAGGGTTTCTCTATGTAAAATTTCTAACTAACTTTGAACTAGATTTATAGACCAGGCTGGCCTAGAACTCACAGAGATCCACCTGCTTCCACCTCTGAAATGCTGGAATTAAAGGCAGAAATAATCATTCTTAATGACATAACCCAGACCCCAAAATACTGAAGTTTTCTCTACTTATCAATGTTAGTTCTGAAGCTTCAAATATGTATGTTATATTACAAATACCTATAAAGGTGAGGAAAGTAGTAAGGGCCCATGGGGTGATATTTCAAGAGGAAGGAGATACAATGCAGTGATATAAAGGGTTAAAAGAGAATAATGGTACAGGATGGGTTAAGTGAGGAGTTGAACAGGAGGGTAGGCTAGAGGAGGGAATACTGGGAGGGACAACTAACAATAAAGACATTTTGAAAAATGTAGAAGGGGTGTGTGTGTGTGTGTGTGTGTGTGTGTGTGTGTGTGTGTACATAGATTACACACATAAAAAGTGAAAATGGAGTTGCCTGTGATGGTGCAACAATACCCTTATTAGACAACACAAGCTAACAACTAAAAATCCTAGTGCCAAGAATGGGTTACCTCTTTTGGAGTTGTTGTCCAGTGAGGTTCTGTCTTAATTAGGGTTTCTATTGCTGTAAAGAAACACCATGACCATGGCAACTTTTCTAAAGGTAAACATTTAATTGGGTGTGATGGGGAATGTCCTTCTGTGTATATGTTTGTCTTATTGGTTGGTAAATAAAGTACTGTTGGCCAATAGAAAAGCAAGATAGGTGGGACTAGGAGTCAAGGAGGATTCTGGGAAATGTAGTAGAGATCCAGGCAGGAAGTGACATAGCAGGCAGACACAGATATAAGCAGGGAGAAGAAGGAAATCATCCTCTTTCTCTTGCTCTTCCTCCTGCTCTCCACTCTGGAGCCACCATGTGATCCACCGGCAAGAGAGGGCGCTTACCGCTGTCATCCTCTGTAAGATAAGTCTTATGATTATGGTTGATAATTAAGACTGAGCGAGCAAGTAATCAATTGGCCAGCAGCACTGTAAACTAATATAAAAGTCTGTGTGTTATTCTGGGTGCCCATGTGGTGGCGGGGCTCGAGTGGATGGAGTTAAGACTTATCGTTACATGGGTGGCTTATAGTTTTATAGATTCAGTCCATTATCATCATGGTGTGACTCAGTGGCGTGCAGGCAGACATAGTGCTGGAGCAGGTGCTGAGAGTCCTCACATTTTGAACAGAAGGCAACAGGAAGTGGTCTGAGACACTGGGTGGTATCTTGAGCATAGAAGACCTCAAAGTCCACCCACACAGTGACACACTTTTTCCAACAAGGCCATACCTATTCCAAGAAATCCATACCTCTTAATAGTGCCACTCTCTTGGGAGACATTTTGTTTTCAAACCACCAAGGGTCCCATAGATCTCAAATATTATAGGGTATTGTTCTTAGTTATTCTCTAGAACTCTATGGTAAGATCCTGCAGTTGAAGACACGATATACTTTAGTCATAAAACACAGAGAAATTAAGCTGCCTCTCACCTGGAAGCCTCATTCTCCTTGGCTAGCTCTCATAGTGCTGTGCTTGCTACTAGAGAAGAAAACAAATCATCATTCTTACCCAGTTGTGAACCCGATGAGCTAAATTAATGACCAACTGGCAAGATACGCCCACTGGTGCAACAGCAGCACAAATGTCATAGAAGTAACCAACCCAATTTCTGATTGGATTTAAAGTCCACACCACTAATTGAAATTGTAACTCGCACCCAGACATTAGTAGGCCACCAGCCCTTAGCACAACTGACCTCATGATGAAAGCACCATTTAGGCCATAATACTCAGCATATAGACACTGTTACTACTCAGACATTAGTAGGCCACCAGCCCTTAGCACAACTGACCTCATGATGAAAGCACCATTTAGGCCATAATACTCAGCATATAGACACTGTTATAGAACAGTGGTTCTCAACCTTCCTAATGCTGTGATTCTTTAATATATTCCTCACGCTGTGGTGACCCACAACCATAAAATAATTTTGATGGTACTTCATAACTGTCATTTTGCTACTTTTATGAATCATAATGTAAATATCTAATATGCAGGATATCTAATATTCGACCCCCATGGGGGTTACAATCCATAGGTTGAGGACCACTGTACCCAAAATGACCTAATCCATCGAAGTCCACAGATATTGGAAAGTCTCTAAGGTACTAAGCTTGCTTTTTCGTTTCTGTAGTCTTGCTTCATGTAACAGCTCTGGCTATCCTGGAACTCAGTTTGTAGATCAGTTGGTCTTGAACTCATGGAGATCCACCTGCCTCCTGAGTGCTGGGATTAATAGAGTGTGCCATGACACCTAGCTTCCACTAACTCTTCTTGCTGAGGTGTGTTAAGCCAGGATGTGGTTTTGTGCTTAAAAGTACACCCCCAAGAAAGGCTAGGACTACACTGGGATTCTGAACACCATGTATAGCCACTGGCCAGCTAATAAAGACTTTCTATTGGTTGAAACCTGTATCCAAGCAGTCTTCTCTGATGGATGCCCCCAACAGAAATTTGTGTTTAATGCTGTTATTGAGGTCAAGAACCTATGGCTATGTCTCTAAATGGTGGCACACACCTTTAATCCCAGCACTTGGGAGGCAGAGGCAGGCAGATCTCTGTGAGTTTGAGGCCAGCCTGGTCTACAGAGTGAGTTCCAGGACAGGCTCCAAAGCTACAGAGAAACCCAGCCTCAAAAAAAAAACAAAACCAAACAACCAAACAAAAAATCCTCCAAAACCAACCAACCAACCAACCAAACAAACAAACAAACAAAACACCAAAACCCAACCAACCAACCAAACAAACAAACAATCATAAAAACTGTGGCTAGAGAGTTCCTTGTACCTAGGGAACAACCTGCTACTAAGACTTTGTGAAATGGACATGGTATTAAACGAACACTGAATGACTTATTGTATCCACAGATCAGCGCATTTATCAACCTTCATTAGAGAAGCTTACGTTAAACAGATGACGATTAACGCAGAACACAGACAGAGAAAGCCCAAGAAGATTATGGGCATCCAGTAGAGCGGGGTCTGTATTATGTTCCTTAGAGAGCACACTGATAGCCAGAAGGGATGAAAACCGCTGGGAGACAGGCTGTATATAACCTGGACCCAGGGAGTTTGGCTGCAGTGTTGCTGCTGCAGCCGCAAACACCATTGGCTGAGCTGGAAGGCACTCCCCGACTTCTGTGAGTCATGTTTGAGCCGCCCACCCCTAGGCTGAAAAGTCTTGGTCACTTCATCACCCCTCCCTTCTCATTTCCTGAGTTGTGCAAAGCTGACTGAACCCACAGAGCAATCTCATCTTGTTTGGACAACACTTGAAGAAGGGACACTTCCCTTCTTCTGCTCTCTCCACTTCCCTCTCCAGAGCCACGGCTTGGCCTGGAACTGATCTCAGGTGGCCAGGGCAGTTAAAGCATAACTTAGCTCTCCATGGATCTGCCTTACTACCATGGCCAGATGACCAAGAAAGAATGTGAAACCCTGCTCCTCAAGGGAGGGGTGGATGGCAACTATCTGATAAGAGACAGCGAGTCTATGCCAGGAGTCCTGTGCCTCTGCGTCTCGTGAGTAGCCTTGCCTTCATGAGTTGAACCCCAATGGCAGCCATCTTCTCAGGGAGCTGTGTCTCATTCTTCTTTGCAATGCTAAGGAGACAGACATGGGCCAGGAGAGGATAGAAGGATGTGTCTGCCCAGCTCTTCTGCCTGCCTTTCCCTCCCATTAGTGGCTGTCACATGAGCAGACCCCGAGACAGCACAAGTGGGGATGGAGGGGATGGAAAATGAGAGAGTGATGGGGAGAAGGAAGAACTGTAAGAATGCAATCTTCTCTCCATGTCTCTTTATTTGCTGTGGAGAAGGCTAGGGGCCCTTTATAATATTTCTGACTGAAAGGCTCTTTGGTTGCATTCACGAGAAATATTTAAAGTGCTAATATGTCATGGCTCATCAGGTTGGTCAAAGACTTTGCAAGCAGCATGTCTTTGTTTCTTTTTATCCTTTCGGAGGCCTTTTGAGGAAAGTAGATGCTGTTGTCATTTTATAGATGAAGAAATAGAGAAACACTGAATCCTTTTTCATGCCTGTTCCAGAAGACATCGAGGAAGACTTCATTGCAAGCCTTTTTGACAGGTGTAGTGATGGATGTAGTGGGGACTTCGTTTGGGGACAGACAGTGGGCTTAACTCTGAATCAAGTGTGAGCAAGTAGGAATTCATAGCAAGGAGCAGGATGGGGGCAGTACACAGAAAAAGTACTATGAGGAAACTTCAGAGAGAAGGAAACACTAGCTAAAAGGACCCCGGGATTTTAGCTGAGTAAAGGCCACTGTGCTTAGATGTCATCTGGGGGCTGGTGGCAGATGGAAGATGCTGATGAGATACTGAGGGTGCTCAGATAGTATCGGAGCAGGAGACTATGAGAAAGCTGAATTTTGTAAGGAAATGCACAGGTGGGCCTAGAAGGTTTAGGAGCTTGACTGAAGTCCCGGCAAACAAAGAAATGTTGTCACTGTAAGGGGAGAGATCTTGTGCTTCTTAGAGCTTTGGAGAAAGTTAAGAAGGCAAAAGTGATTGTCATTATTAATTGTTACACAGGCCCTTTGTTTCTTAAATGGTGCCTGGAGAAATGGGTGTGAGAAAGATAGCATTAAGTCCATCTTTGCTTCTTAAGCTGAAAGTGATGCTCAGGTTTTTGGGTTTTTTGTTTGTTTGTTTGTTCGTTTGTTTTTGTTTTTTCTCCCCCAGATTTTTTTTTATTTGAATTAGAAACAGGATTGTTCCCTTCTCCCTCCTGTCCTTCCTTACCCCTCCCCCCAACTAAAACCCTACCTATCACATATCCTTTCTGCTCCCCCTGGGTGGTGATGCGTTCCATAGGGGTCATCAGAGTCTATTGTATCCTTTGGGATAGGGCCTAGGCCCACCCCCGTGTGTCTTGGCTCAGGGAGTATCCCTCTATGTGGAATGGGCTCCTAAAGTCCACACCTATGCTAGGGATAAGTACTCAACTACTACAGGAGGTCCTGTAGATTTCCAAGTTTTCCTCACTGAAATGCATGTTCCTGGGGTCTAGTTCAGTCCCATGCTGGTATCCCAGCTATCAGTCTGGGGA